AAAAAAAACAAGACAAAGACAGTCTAAGGACAGCTACGTTGTAGACACTTGAGTTCACGGAGAAGTCGCCGAGCTTCCTGTCACTCTGGTGCTCCGAGCCCTGGATCCTCACAGCAGAGGGAGGCAGGATCCCAGCCCTGCCCGCACAGTGGGGTCGCCAAGCGCCCGAGGGTGGGGATGCTAGGAGGTCCAGCACTCGGCCAGTCTTGTGTCCTGGCTGGGGACTCCCCCTCGCAGCCACAAGCGAAGTGACCGTCGTGGCAGAAGGCAGAGGCGATGAGAGTCCCGGGTGTGTCCCTTCGTTCCTGCCCTTGTCTCAGGTGTCGGGGACCCTGACCAAGAGCTCTGGGGCACGTTCCAGGCCTCCTGGCCAAGCAGAGCAACCGCACTGTGACATTGGCATTGAGAGGGAGGCTGGGCTCCCGGCACGTGCCGGAGGCGCAAGTCTTTCAAGCAGGCCGTCCTCATGAGGCCCTTCTGGCGCCCACGGAAGGCTCTGTCCCCGCCCCGAGCCCCGTGGCACTTGGCTTGTGGGTGTGTCTCTCGGAGGTGGGGGTGCCTGCCTTCTGCTGTGTCCGGGCCACGCAGGGACCGGGCGGCTTTCTGTCACTCTCAGTCTGGTCATTCTATAAGAGGGATGAGACGGCAACCTGGCGCTGCTGTGGAGAGTGGAGTGTCGAGACGTGTGTGGCCTCTCAGGGGAACCCCCCAAAACCTGGAATTTATTTATTTATTTATTTATTTTGAGTTGGAGTCTCCCTCCGTCACCCAGACTGGAGTGCAGTGGCCGCTCCCAGCCACCGCAGCCTCGACCCGCTGGGCTCCCGCGATCCTTCCACCTCAGCCTTCCAAGTAGCTGGAACTACAGGCGTGCGCTACCACACCCAGCTAACTTTTTATTTATTGTAGAGATGAGGTCTCGCCAAGTTGCCCAGGCAGGTCTCGAACCTGTGGGCTCAGGCAATCCACTCACCTCAGCCTCCCAAGGCGCGGGATTACAGGCTGAGCCACCGAGCTCGGCTGGAAAATTTATTTATTTTTTTCTTTTCTTTTTTTATTTTTTGAGTTGGAGTCTCACTCTGTCACCCAAACTGGAGTGCAGTGGCCGCTCCTGGCCACTGCAGCCTCGACCTGCTGGGCTC